TGCTTGATAATGATAAAATTAAATATCTGAAGGCTTTAGAACTAAACAACCATAAGGTAAAGTTAAATTATTTAGAAAACGAAGAAGATAAAAAGAATAAGAGACACCGCAGACGTAACATTATATGGTTTAATCCAGGTTTTAATCATAATGTTCAAACAAATATCTGAATAATTTTCCTAAATTTAATTCATAAACAAAGATAATGATAAGATCAGCTATAGCTGCGTTAGTGACATCGATATATCTATATCCCAACTTTATATTGAAGAAATACATGTCCAACGTACACATCAGACTTAATCATTTAAAAGATATGTCGAATTCTATTTTGGTCCCACTGAAAATCGTTGGAAATCTCGTTTGTACCATCATCGAAAGACTCTAGTCAATATTAAACACATAAACAACATGGCTCTTTCAAAACATTTCCAATTTTTTCCGGCAATTAAAGAATGAAAATAATAAATCCATTACAAGAGCTAAATCTTTCAATGGGGTAGGTAATACATGTAATTTATGTCTTGTTGAAAAATTAGTTACATTAAAACACTTAAATAAGCCTACATTATTAAACAAGTAATTTAATAGTTACATCTTAAAATGGTAATCATAAAACTAAATATATGCTCAAATACGGTGATCCAGATTAATTTTTAATGACAATTATGGTTGTCTTTTTTTCTTTTTTTGTCTTTAAATCCAGTAATCTCTTTATGGTTAATATAAAAAAATAATATTCTTAAGTCTAAAATATGTTTCTATTACACACACACACACACACACACACACACACACACACACACACACACACACACATATATATATATATATATATATATATATATATATATATATATATATATATATCCGGTTTATTTTAAATGGCATATATCCATTTTAAATTTAAAAAAAAACCCTGTAATTCTAGAGTAAGATATAACTACGCTAGGATTGCAATAACAAGATATTTTTATTAAAATTTAAATTACGTAACGGTCAGTCTATACTCAGCACTTAAAGATTGCTTCATGCATGAAACTCCGATCCGTGCTATCGATTATAAAAATATATATATATATATATATATATATATATATATATATATATATATATATATATATATATATATATATGAGTATTACCACGGAATTTGTGAGTAACGGCGATATATCGAGTCTAGCTCTAGTCTGTTTCTTCTTCGTCACCAAGGACTGTTGGTCCAGTGTTCTGACGCTTGCGTTTTATCGTAACGGTGCGAGTTCGATTCTTGTTAGTGGATGAACACTGTGGATGAGTCCCAAATAGGACTGAACGGCTTTCCAGTGAGTTCTGCATTCTGTTGAGGATTATTCTAGACTCAATTCATTAATATAAATGATAGGATTATTCAAATCTCCCAAAATTCTATATATATATATATATATATATATATATATATATATATATATATATGAACGCAGTTTTCTTACACGTATAATTTATATATATATATATGTCAATATGTACATACATACACACACACATACACACATATATATATATATATATATATATATAAACATATATATATATATGTGTGTGTGTGTGCGCGTGCGTTTATGTGTGCACATACATATATATTAAGTTTCTTACGGAATGGTTGGAGGCTATTTTGTCATGTCTTATTTTCTCGCACTGGCATTATTTTACAGGCCCAGGGACACATTCACACACAGACACATGCAAATATCATGGATAGATAGATAGATAGATAGATAGATATGAATAAAAGTTAGAAACTGAATATAATATTTAGGTAGATAGACACACAAATAGATACATTGATAGTTATGAACAGATAGTTATCCATATAGATGTGAGTGCACTCATTACGTCGCTGTGAACACCCTGTGATAGATAGATAGATAGATAGATAGATGCTCCTAATTTGATGTCGATAATAGATTGATTTGACCAATAGATATACATAGACCGATATAGAGAATCAGATATAATATATTTGTGTGTATGTGTGTGGAGAAAGAGAGTGAGGGAGGAATAAACAGAGAGACAGAAGTGGAGAGTGGGGAGATGTCTATGCGTTGGTTGATGAATGTATGTATGTATGTGTATTTTTCTGTATGTATACATGAAACGTGTGTGCCAATTTTAAACGTCCATGTTCCGGTGATGTAACGAGGACGGATCGACATCAGTCGTGAGATTATTTTGAGCGGGAAGGCTTGGACATCCGTATGTGTGGGGCAAGGCATCACATCAAAAGCAAATAACGGAACTGCTAAATTTATCTGTACAGATCTCTGGAGTCAGTGAAGGCAGAAAGCCTACGAAGAACTGGAACGAGAATAGCAAGAAATGAGAAAGAAAATTTATTCGATTCTCAAATCCTAGTTATTATTACATGTACACAATTATCCGACATTATGAAAAATGTTTCATAGTTGTTGTCTGCATAGTAAAGCTCATGTTTGAAGCCAAACGTAACCAAACAAGAGCCATGTCTACGTGATCAGGGTCGTAGCAGAGACCAATGTGGGTTTTTTTCGGGGGCGGGGGTAAGGATGGTGTCAAAATATTTAGAATTTAGCCTTGTTATCAAAGGCCACCAACAAGCGCCAAGAACATTTAAAATTTCCAGTTCCTATAGATTGTCAGAAATCATCTTTAAAACAATAGAGAACAGTCTCTTTTACAAACGAAAGAACTTTATTATCTGAAATTATGAAGCATGAAAAAAAGTTTGTTTTTTTTTCATGTTTTTTGTCTGCACAGTAAAACTCATATTTAAGTCCAACATAAAGAAACAAGACCCATGTCTACGTGATCGGGGCCGTAGCAGAGACCAATATGCTTTTTTTTAGGGGGGGTGGGGTAGGTGGTTTCAAAAATTTAGAATATAGCCTTGTTATCAAAAGCCGCCAATAAATGCCAAGAACATTTAAAATTTCCAGTACCTCTAGACTGATAGAAATTTTCTTTGGAATAATAGAGAACAGTCTGTGTTACAGACGAAAGAACTTTATTATCCGACATTATGAAAAGTGAAAAAAAAACAAAAAAAACTTTTGTTTCATGGTTTTTGTCACACTAAAACTAATGTTTAAAGTTGTTATGGAGTGATTTCACAGTGGAGGCTTGTATTTGTACTAAGTCGGTCCTAAAATAGGTTCGACGTACAAAACGTAAGGATATAATAGGTAATGACGCAGAGTAATCTAGTTGTGGCCGCTGATACTTTAGTATCCGACTAACGGTCGTCCGGCATCGACTGACTGACCGACGGTATTCAGTCACCCCCCCACACACACACGAGGGTGTCATGTGGCACAAGGCCGGTTTAACGTGGGATCTCCGAGCCCAGGGGCTCGGCCAAAAATATGCCCATTGAAGCCGTATAAACGCGTTCAGGATCGGTTTACCTCCCCGAAAGATAATCCGCCCTTCGGTGAAGCCTCTTTCGGGTTCCTCCCCGCCCGAAGGCAGAGAGTTCAACCGATCAGCCAGTCAACTGACTGACCGACGATATTCAGTCACCCTCCCACGAGAGCGTCATGTGGCACAAGTCGGTTTAACGTGGGATCTCCGAGCCCGTGGGCTCGGCCAAAAATATGCCCTTTGAACTCTTATAAACGGGTTCGGGGTCGGTTTACCTCCCCGAAAGAGACTCCGCCCTTTGGCGTAGCCTCGTTCGGGTTCCTCCCCGCCCGAAGGCAGAGAGTTCAACCGATCAGCCAGTCGACTGACTGACCGAACCTCTGATCGACTCTTACTACTCCTACTTATTATAGGTGGGAGAGTCTATTAACTATAGAATAGGTGTGTTCCACTATAGCAGAAGTCAAACATGAATAAACAAGACCCATGATTATGTGACCAGGGCCGTAGCAGAGACCAATATTGTTTTTTGGCGGGTGGGGACAAAAATTTAGAATTTAGCCTTAAGTTATCAAAGGCCGCCAACAAACGTCAAGAACATTTAAAATTTTCAGTAAGTCTTGATTGGCAGAAATAATCTTTAATAAAGAATATTCTGTGTTACAAACGAAAGAAGTTTTCATCTATTTTTTGAATATCTACATGTGAAATATACAGGGTTGTCCGAAAGTCTTGCTTCCACTACATAATATAATTTTCTATTTCAACACTCTGTGGGGTATTTTTTATGAAGAAGAGAGTTTAACATGAATAATACCAGAATACACATCAGTTGAAGGACGCCATTCGGAGAGACTTTGCTGCGATCAACAAAGCAGAGCTTCATAAAATATCACACAGGTCATGGCCCCGTTTTATTTTGTGCCTCGAAAATGCTGGTATTTATACAGAATCTTCTCAATGTGTGACAGCGTCAATGAAAGTGAATAAAATGAATCCAGTACATGTGCTTTGTGTAACTTCTTCTTCTATTGTTCTCATTACCTTTTGGTCGTGGGTGACAAGATTTTCGGACCACCTTGTAGATTCATTAATGAAGAAAAAATATCTTTTTATTTATTTTTTTTATTTGGTTCTGAAAAAAAAAACGTAAACCATCTCCAACACGAATATTTTAAGCTATTGTCCCGTTTTGTGTTCCAAAATTGTGTATTTTATTTTAATTGGACTCACCACAATTCTACATTAAAATGAAAATGCACCGACGCGATAAAGGGAAATTACTATCATCGTACCCCTCGGGGTTTTAAGAATGTTACATTCTTCCTTGCTTTGATAGTTTTTTGCTTGTTTTTTTTTTTTGTTTTTTTTTTTTATTTCTTGGATTTCTTTCTTGATTGTATTTTGTTAATATAGTACCCTGTAAAAATTGCTAAAATTAGTAAAAATTGTGGGGGAGCCAAGCCCCTATTCCTGGAATGCTACAGTCCTAAGAATGTAACTTTGAAAAGGCCTTGCCTTAACCCCTGACAACTTGTTTTTACCTAAGTGCTCCTTATAGTCTGACCAGTTTTCGTGGGTCATGGATTATCATATAATAATTATGATTGTCCATCCCTTCATTAATTTACACTACTTGGTTTCAGTGAAAGAAAGAAAGAAGCAAGAAAGAAAGAAGGAAAAAAAGCAGGCAAGCAAGAAAAAAGAAAGAAAATAGAAAGAAAGGAAGAAAAAAGAAAGAAAGAAAGAAAAAAGAAAGAAAGAAAGAAAGAAAAAAAAAAAAAAAAAAAAAAAAAGCAAGCAAGAAAGAAAGAAAAAAGAAAGAAAGTGAGAAAGAAAGAAAAAAGGAAGTAAGAAAGAAATAAAGAAAGAAAGAAAGAAAGAAAAAAGCAAGCAAGAAAGAAAGAAGGAGAGAAAGAAAGAAAGAAAGAAAGAAAGAAAGAAAGAAAGAAAGAAAAAAAGAAAAAAGAAAAAAAGCAAGAAAGAAAAAAGAAAGAAAGTGAGAAAGAAAGTAAAAAGAAAGAAAGAAAGAAAGAAAGAAAGAAAGAAAGAAGGAAAGAAAGAAAGAAAAAGCGAAGATAGAAATGTTTAACGTCTCCTGCCAATAAATAATGGATGATTCCGTTTTGATTGCGTGGAAAAAAACAAATGACATTAATGGTGATTTTTTAAATGTGACACAAGGCCGAAAGTACGAAACATCAAACGAGGATCGAAATAACTGCTTAGTCGTAATTGTTCTAACGAAAGAAACTTGCAAGCTATTACATGACGCCGTGGTGAAAACAAGAGACATTATGAGCTGCCTATCACCATTGATAACGGTACCGGTCCACGTCGGTCAAAGAGACGACGTCCAGTGTGATGTGATTATAGAAAGAAAGGAAATGGCTATCCAACCAGAACAGAGCCGACACGAACCCCGGGACGCCCGAGTATGATGAAATGAAATATCTACATGCTCCCTACGCACTACGAAATAATCGGGACAATGAGTTGAGAGGTGTTAATTATGCAAATGGTTCGTTTTCATAAAACCACTAATGTTTTGGGCTCAATAAAACTAGCATATTTTAGAAAAAGAAGGAGGAAGAGGAGGGGGAGTAGGCGAAGAAGAAGTGGAGGAGGAGGAAGATGATAATGAAGGAGTGGAAGGAGGAGAAGAAGATGATGAAGGAGGGGAAGGAGAAGAAAGAGAAGGAGGCGGAGAGGTAGGAGTAGGATTAGGCGACGAACAAGAAGTAGTAGTAACAGTGGTAAAGAAGAAGAAGAAGAAGAAGAAGAAGAAGAAGAAGAAGAAGAAGAAACAATCAAAAGGAATAGTAAGGAAAATCATCACATTATCAGAGACGCTACTTGGTTTCAGTTATAAAACGGAAGATAGAAGTGTTTCACGTCTGTTTTAGTAAAATGGAAATTGTCAATTTCAAATCTTTCATTTAGACTCACTTAAAATATCGAGAATCATTCATATTGATGATTGTTAAATTCAAATATTTAACGATGCGATAGGAATACTTTATGTTCATAGACCTCACCATGACCTTATTCAATAACAAACTTAAGAATTAAGATTCATCAGAAAATTCAAATTCATAGTAAATCCGTAAAATTTTCACGGGTCTTTCTAGCTTTATTTATATATATATATATATATATATATATATATATATAATAAGAAAAATTAATTCAAGAGAATTGTTTATTTTCAGTTATATGCAAATTAGTTGTTTATTTTATTTATATCTTTTTCTGTTAAATACGAAGTGTGATCGAAAAGTAACGGCAATGGTGCTATAATAAGAAAACCACAACCCAGTAAACTCTTTCAAAGTTGTCCTCTTCTATAGCCACACCCTTTATACAGCGTCGTTTCCATATATGGAAGTATTCCTGGAACACAATTTTCTTAACAGAAAGCATTCTCTTGAATTTAGTCGACCTCTTGAAATCATGTTCGCTTCAAGTGGGATTCAATTTTTGGCAAGAGGAAAAAATTGCAAGGGACAAGATCTAGGAAAAAGTGTGGTTGTCGAATCTGGGAAATGTTGTGCATGGACAAAAAGCTGCTGCACACGCTGCATTGCATGATCAGTTGCTTTGTCATGGTGTTGCCTCTCACCGGACACATGCAATTAAGTCCTTTTCCGACGAACAGCATGCCGAAAACGTCACGGTAGTACTCCTTGTTTACTCTCTGACCAGATTCTTGATAAAATCCAGAGACGAAAATGCAATGTAATTAGCCCTGATCTGGCATCTCATCTGCAGTCGCTCTCTCACAGATGTGCCGTCGCCTCTGTCATTTTTACAAATACTTTCATGGTAACTGCTCCGATAAGGTACTTTCGCTGCTTCCCAGACTTCATGAATTTAAGCGTTCTACTAGGCTCTCATATCGCTCTCACCCTTTCTATGTCGAAACTGTTAAATTTAGCTGTCTCTTCTACTCCAATAGCTTCGTGTCTCGCGCTTCTCACCTGTGGAACTCCCTCCCCTTTTCCTGTTTCCCTGATAGCTATAATCTCCATCTATTCAAACGTAATGTCAATCGACGTCTCCAGATGCCTTGATCTACTCCTATCTTACTCTTCATCCTTCGTCTATCACTCCTATTTGCTCTCGCTCCAACTAACTGTAACCCCTTCTAACCCCCTGCGTGCTGGTGACTTCCCGCTTAAAAAAATTTAAATTGTTGCATTTGTTTAATTTGATATCTCTAATTTGTAATTTGAATGTTGGGCAGTTCATTTTTGCTAACAACCAGACATTCTGTAATCAATCTAGCGTTACCGGTGCAAATAGATAAGTCTACTGGTTTCTGCACACGTGACATTTAAGGTTACAAATCGTAAAAGATAAAAACAGTCATACACTTGGAGCATGATATAGACATATATTTCAGATTTCAAATTTAAGGGATAGTTTCCTCGTAATATGTGATAATATGGTATCATTGCTACAGTAGTACAATCGTTTAACAAAAAACAAATATTTTTCTTGGGGGCCGTCTGCGCAACACAACTCGAGATGATTAAACGCGACCCAAGTCACAAAATTTACTCTACACCAGAGTTTTTGGGTAAGTTATTATATATATTATACAATATTATAGTGTCTGGCCATTCGTATCTCAGGATGCCCGTCTACTGGGCCGGCTAGCTAATTCCCATTGCAGACAAATGTTCAACACTCGCAGAGACCACCTGTGATTTATACTGCAACTGTGATGAGCAGATCTTACAGTTTCTGCGAGAGAGTGCGTTATATAGACTAGAACGCTCAAACAGCCACGATGGCTTGTGACTCCATCTACCCAACTTCACAAGGCTTTCCAAAGGTGCCGAACGCTGGGATCGCCTCCTCCTCCTCTTTAAAACCGATAACATCAAGAAGTTACCTTCCTGGTGAGATTCGACCCTGGTAAGACTGGAACCCACTTCTCCTGGTCAGAAAGCGAACGTTCTAAACACGTGCCCACATACAATATTATACAGAGAACGTTATTAGCAATATTATACATTATTATATAAGAAAAAGTATTATCCATATTATGCAGGAATAATTCTACATATTATACAGAATTATACAAGGAAAGTTATTATACACATTATAGAGAATTAAACACGGAAAATTATTATACACATTATATAGTATTATGCAGGGAAAATTATTATTTATAGATGGATTTCTCACAATACATTCAACGTTGTTTTATCACAGTGCATCTACTAACTAGATGCGCCTACGCCGCGCAAGGATATTATTACCATCGTATAATTCTAAATTATTTACTGCGTACGTTACGCTCTGCCAATGCCTACGAATAATTGACTCTTCAGATTTGATTGTTTTCAGTTTTATTTAGAGACGCTGTTTGGTTTCAGTGCGTAAAAGAAATAAACAAAGAAACAAAGAAAGAAAAAGGAACAAAAAGAAATGATAGGTGGGAGAGATAATGCTCTTATGTGCTTAACGTCTGCTTCAGTGAAATTAAAAGCTTATCACTTCCAGATCTGTTTATTTGTACCATATGACTTCTTTAACTAATAACTTGCACTCATATTTATTATTGTTCTTGTAATATTTTGTTAAAGTATATTTAGAGATTCTTGATAGAACCCAAAGAAAAATCTGCAATGTTATTGGTCCTGACCTGGCATCTCGGCTTCCGTCCATTTCCCACCGCCATAATGTAGTTTCTCTGTGCCTTTTCTATACATATTTTAATGTTAATTGTTCTGATGAACTTTCCGCTGAAGACATTATGAACTCAAGCGCAGTACTAGATTGGCGGAAAGGTCTCATCATTTTAGAGTTGAAATTGTAGGCTCTATGCTAAAATTTTCTTCACTCGCACTTCTTCCGTGGGGAATTCTATTCCGGTATTCTGATTGCCAGTAAACTTTGATCTTCAAAAAAATTAGTGTAATATCAATCGTTATCTTCCGTCTTCTTAATTCTTGTTCTTTAATTGTTCTCGCTCCTTAATAGTGTTTTTTCCTATTCCCTATCATTCAGTAACCCCCTTGCGTCTTAGTGACTTTATTGCCTTGCTTGAAGTGAAATGATTTTAAAAAAAAAAGTTCCTATTATGAAACAGTATCTTTTTTATTCGTTAATTATGCCTTTTTTGTGGTCGATCTATTTTTAATCGGCCAGTATTGTTGACGAAATGTTTTTTTTTTCCACAATTTTATTATCTCTTTTGCAAATTGGAAGTATTGTTATTGTAGTTAGATTTTAGATCTGATAGAACTAATGGAATTGGGTTTTGGGAAAATATATTATAATCTCTTCTTTAGTTTTACCAACGCCAGCTTTATCATAAAAGACCATAACACTTTAAAGAGAAAATATGAAAATATTTTTTTAGCAACATTAACAAACATTAACACACGTTTTAAAAAAATACATTACATCACCATTTTTCTAAAGATCCGTTATTCATAAATCTAACTTATCTCTTTCGAATATATAGAAATCAATATATATATATATATATATATATATATTGATTTCTATATATATATATATATATTGATTTATATATATATATATATATATATATATATATATATATATATAATACGCACAAGATTTACTAATGAAAAGTTTTTCAAAATATCCTGCAGCGTCTGACTAACCTTTACTTACCATTAACATCTTACTAACTTTTACGCACTTTATCGCTGAAAATCTTTGACGCATATATTTAAGTATTATCTGCTACTTTATTATACGTAACACATATCTAACCAATAAGAAATAGCCAAACACAACATACTATCAATCTGCGTCTCTTTGTTTTTGTTATGGGACCTTAACCATAATAACATAATGGACTATTCCATATGTAATAAATACTGCGCCTCAAGATAAAGCAGGGAGTTCAGTCTGAAGTCTGGAGTGAGGTCCGTCAGAAGTCCGTCAGGAGTCTGTCAGTCAGTCAGAGCGAGCGAGTCAGTCAGTCGAGTCAGAGGCAGTCCGAAACAGAGTCGCGTTCAGACAATTACTACTAAACCTGATTGTTTGTACTAATACTTTCTACTTCTCTCTATATATTCCAGTTTGTATCTGTGTTATTCCATATCCGTGTTCGAGTTCTTCTTTATTGGTTCTACCTTGGACTATCACCGTGGTACAAGGAACCGGGCCATAACAGTTTTTTTAACATTTTTATCATTTCTATCTTGATTCTCGAGGAAGCTTTATTAGAGTGAAACATGTTAGATTAGGATGTGTTTCCTACTTGTTCTTTATCCTATCAATCAAATTTCTACGTGATTATCAAAAGAATGTCAGTTTTAGGATTAGTTTATAAGTTACACAGGGTTAAATATAGAAAGACGTGTTTTCCAGGGCCGAAGAATCTGATTTCTATTAACCGGTGTATTTGATCGAAGTTATTTTCTCGTACCCACTGTGGTTGAAGAGAAAATAAAAATTCATCTTCTGTCAACCAGCTACAGATTTCAGCTTTTAATAGAAATGTCACCTTTATTAAGATCACATAGTGAAACTCTATAACAGCTAGTGTTTTTTTTTTTCCACTGTAGGGAATTTTTATTTTATCTGTGTCTGGCAAACATTTGACATTCGGGATTAAAACAATTCTGGATTGCCGAGAGAGTAATGCAGAGAGGGGAAGAGAAGAAAAATGATGACGTAATTTATACCACACACACAGATGAAAAAAGTCAGGATATCAGCCGATCACGCTACCATGGTTTCACCCAAGATACCGAAAAGTTGAAACCAAAGTAGCGTGATCGGCGGATCTCCAAATTTTGTCCTAATTTAAAAGCTCTGCATGTTAAATTTTTCCCCTTTTTTTTTTTTTTTTTATACGTGTATTGAGCACTTTTTAATACTACTGTTTCCTGGTCTATTTCAACTCTCCCCAAAAACATTTTTTATTAAATAAACACACACACACACACACACACACACACACACACACACACACACACATATATATATATATATATATATATATATATATATATATATATATATATATATATATATATATATATTTCCAAGTAGCTACACGAGTTATTTTAATTTCGATAATTTTATTACTTCAATCATTAATTTTAGTGTAGAAACTCATCTTTGCCGTTTTGTCTTTTTTCGATTTTTATTTTATTTTAATCAGTGTATATTACGCATGTGGTCCTTCGCAGTAAAGATTCATGTGGCGTGCTTTAGAGCGCTCACCCACAGAAAGTGACACATCCCAGATAGATTCTAATTACCCTTTTAAGGAATACTCCCCACCGTTCAGATTTTCCCGAAAGTTCAAAAAATACGGGACGTAAATTTCAAACACGGGTACACACTAATATAACATTTGAAAATTTTTTTTTTTTTTTTTTTTTTTTCAGTATGGTCCACCCTTTACAAGGCACGCGGACACTTGAGGCAGAGGGTTACATTGGCAGGCCATTTGTGCGTACAGGAGTGAACGATAACGGTTAACCCTAGTCTTGCACAGATTAAGAATTTAGAGATCAGGTAAATATCCTGTTGTGAGTCCGTTCCACAGGGCAGTGGTTCACGGGAAGAGGCTGTTCAAGTGGAGCTTACTTCTCCCCGATGGGATACGGAGGAAATGTGGGTGGTCTGCCAAAATTTACGTGGCATGGCGTGCGCTTGCCGTGAAGGTTTGTTTTGGCGGGGCCAGGGTGTGTAGTTCGTCCGAGTACTTTCCGTGGAAGTAACGGTAGAGCAGTGAGAGGTTTGTCACATACCGCCTGTGGGAGAGAGGTTGAATGGTGGAGAATAATTCGTCACCCACTTTGGCTCGGAAATGCTTTTTGACTGTATCAAAGCTAGAGAGTGAACTCCGCCCAAATATGAAAAACTGTACTCCATAGTTGGCCTGATCTGGCTCTTGTAAACGTAGAGGATAGCGGGAGAAGTCAAGTGCTTATTGAAGCGGCACAGGGAGCCGAACATTTTACCTGCATCCTTAGCAATGGATCGTATGTACGAGTACCACTTGAGGTCAGGTGTGATTTTGAGGCCCAGTAGTCTTTCAAGGCCAGATGATACCCCGAAAGGATCTCCGTTCATCCTAATTGGTAGTAGTCCGGTGAAAGATCAGTGATGATGGAATATGATTAGCTTGATTTTCGAGGGACTGAAAGTAACCAGCCAGTTTTTTACTCATTGCCCGCTAGTATTCCGGAAGACTGGCCAATAATTACTACCTTCAGGGACCTAAATGCTTGGAAGGATTTTATGATAAAGAAGACCCTTCCAGTGATTCTATAACATGAGAGCTTGTGTAGTAAACTTTATATATTTGCATGAGCGTGTGTGTACGTGTGTGTGTGCGTATGTTCACTCAAACAATTTTGTTAAATTCAACCAGATAATTGTGCCTATTTAATTTGTTTATTATAATGTTCTAATTGGCGAATGGGATGTTGGATATATGGATTGAAATTATGCATAAACTGTTTCAAGTTCAGGTGTTTTTTTTGTTTGTTTTTTATTCTGCTTCATTCAAGTACTGCAGATGATTTCAGTTATTATCAAGAACTGGGTGTTGTCTGTAAGGTAAACAAAATTTTTTTGATTAAATCCTGTCATGTTTAGATCGCCGAAAATTGAAATGGCATCCTTTGAAAGCGGCGATGTATGGTCCGGTTAAACGGAAACGCATATTTCGAATGTTCATACGTTTGTCATTTTTATGCGTTTTGATAGATACATAGATAGATAGATAGATAGATAGATAGATAGATAGAAAAACAAACTTGGACTAGAGAGATAAATAAAAAGAAAGAAAGAAAGGAACAACACATAACCAACAAAAAACTTGTATTAGATAGATAGAAACTTGGCTTAAATAGATAGATAGATAGATAGATAGATAGATAGATAGATAGATAGATAGATAGATAGAAAAAAAACAAACTTGGAATAGATAGATAGATAGATAGAAAGAAAGAAAGAAAGAACAAATAAACAACCAACAAACTTGTATTAGATAGATAGATAGATAGATAGATAGATAGATAGATAGATAGATAGATAGATAGAAACTTGGCTTAGATAGATAGATAGATAGATAGATAGATAGATAGATAGATAGATAGATAGATAGAAAAACAAACTTGGACTAGAGAGATAAATAGAAAGAAAGAAAGGAAGAAAGGAACAACATACAACCAACCAATAAACTTGTATTAGATAGATAGAAACTTGGCTTAGATAGATAGATAGATAGATAGATAGATAGATAGATAGAAAGAAAGAAAAAAACTTGGAATAGATAGATAGATAGAAAAAAAAACTTTTAATAGATAGATAGATAGATAGATAGATAGATAGATAGAAAGAAAGAACTAAAGAAAGAACAACCAACCAATAAACTTGTATTAGATAGATAGATAGATAGATAGATAGATAGATAGATAGATAGATAGAAACTTGGCTTAGATAGATAGATAGATAGATAGATAGATAGATAGATAGATAGATAGAAAGAACTAAAGAAAGAACAACCAACCAACAAACTTGTATTAGATAGATAGATAGATAGATAGATAATGGAATTTATTGTTAACTAGCTACATTCAAAAATGTCGATTTTAATTTTTTTTTTCTCACAGATATCTCATCATCATTCAATGTTTTTTTACCTGAAATATTAGTCTGTATTTGTTGAATGCCTCCTTATGAAAATACAAAATAAAAAAAATAATCCATCGTTTTGGAATTTTTGTTGAAAGGGAAAATATCTTATGGTAAATAACATGAATTTTTTATTAAAAAGAAAATAACTTATTAGGAAGAAAATTCTTGAGTTGGGAAACTTCTTGCACCTGTCTATCCTCCCCAAAATGTTAACATACACACTGGATTTTTTTCAAAAATATCCCTTTCTTAAAAGAAATAAACAATTCCCAGCGCATGATTATAATTTTTAATTAAATTAAAACGGTTACATCCAGAGAATATTTAAAATTTTAAAATAATTAAGTGCATAAATAATTTTTCAAGTTAAAAAGAAATAATTTAAAAAAAATAGAAAAATAAAAATTCAACAACAAAAAAATTAAAGATATTTTTTATTCTGTTTATAAATGTTGAAAAATAAAATCCTTTACCTTGAGAAATGTAACCAATTCCAATTTAGTTTTCAACGAAAATATTAAAAGGTGGTCATATATAAATTTTATTTTTTGACGTTTTGGTGTATCAGGATATTTAATTTAGCCAAATGAATTCATCTTTCCATACGTTTTATTTTATTATTTTATTTTTGTTTTTAAACTGTTTTTATTTTATTTAGTTTTATTATTTTATTTTATTATTATCTTATCTTATTATTTTATTATATTATTTTTATTATTATATAATATTATTTTAATTTGTTTTAGTATTTTTTATTATTATACTATTTTTTATTTTATTTTGTTTTCTTATTTTATTTTTATTGTTATATTATTTTATTATATTATTTTTATTATTATTATTTTATTTTTCATTATATTGTTTTTTATATTTTTTTATTTATTTTGTTTTATTATTTTATTTATATTATTATATTATATTTATTTTATTATTTAATTATGATGCATGATCCTAGACATGAATTTACCGTAAATTATTTTAGAGTTTGTCCACTTTCAATACATAGTCATCGTAATAAATTATTTTCGCTTTGAAATACATCTGCATTCTTTTAGTCGAAATTATACTAAAAACTTATTCCAATGAACAACTAATACACTGCGGCATTTTTTTTTTTTTTTAGATCACTTATATGATTTTATATTTGTATTTAATCTTCTATATCTTACAAGGGTTTATTGGAACACATTTTGCATTTCATCTTGTAAATTCTTGCTTCAGGAATAATTAAACTATTTCGTTTTAAAGACTGTGTAACAATTTTTATATTAAGTTTCCATAAATATTTTTCAAATGCAGTAGGTAGTATTATGGACATAGATTTATCAAGGTTGGTTTCCTTTCAGCTTTACGATTTTTTAGCTATTCCCTTTATGAATAATTCAGGTATTTCGAGAAAATTATAAATATTTTAATGCTATTTTTTAACATCACGTGAATATATTATAGTTGCAAATTCATCTAAAGTATATATGCTATGATATTTTCTCTTGCGCAGACCGTATAGTTCAATGATCCTGTAATAGGCCAGATACTGTTAGATTCATTCTTCCATAATGTAAACCGAATTCATGTCGACACACGGCTATATTTGATAAATATATATACATATAATTGATTATATTATATATATATATATATATATATATATATATATATATATATATATATATATATATATATATATATATATATATGAATAAAAATGAAAATAGGAAAAGTAGTAATTGCTGACGCGTTTCGTCAAATGTGGACTTTATCAAAGCAAAATACGTAATGAAATTAATTGAACAAGGTAACTAATAAAAACAAAAAACAGAATGTTCCTAGCAAGTGGAATGTAGAGAAACTCTATTTTCATATTTCTGACTGAAAACTAACGTCAGTATTTGTAACGTGTGGAGAATATTGTCATTATATCTGTGTTGATGTTTTTAACCATTTTCTTTTGATTTTATGAATCTCTTGTGTATATTTGTTTGTGAGAGCAGTAATTTTGTTAAGAAAGGTGAAATGGGGGAAAAACCTGGGCGTAGATTAATATTTGGGTAATTTTCTATGGCGGCACTCTCTAGAATTTTTCTTCTGAGTGAGGTATTTTCTTTTTTTTATGAGTGTAGCATTTTTAAAATCAAAATTATGATTGACTTTATTTCTATGTATGACTAGTGCATTAGCTAAGTTGTTTTTTGTGATGTCTCGTTTGTGTTCATAAATATTATTAGTTACATTGTTCAATTAATTTCATTTTCGTATTTTGCTTTGATAAATTCCACATTGGACGAAACGCGTCAGCAATTATCAGTTTTCCTATTGTCATTTTTTATTCATAAATATTGTCTTCTCTACTGGTTAAATCGGAGAAATTTTCAATATATATATATATATATATATATATATATATATATATATATATATATATATATATATATATATAACATGATAAAAGTTATTTAGTAATCCCTATGCATAATTCCTGGAGAATATACATTCCGAGAGCTCACTGTAATAAACAAAACAAGTAATAATTAACAAATTAGATACTTCAGAAAGCCATGGTAATATTTTATTTCGCGAGAACGATAAAACTTCGCTTCATCAAATCTGGTGGTTTCATAACAATGAATTTTTTTTAAACCGCCAGGTCTGACAAAGCGAAAATTTCATCGGGCTCACGAAATAAAATATTACCATGGCTTTCTGAAATCTGCGATTTGTTATATATATATATATATATATATATATATATATATATATATATATATATATATATATTGATGCCTGTTTCATTAAATGATATAGACAAGTTTTGCCTTTTTATTTTAAGTAAGTTCCTTTCATATTGTCTGATAAGCTTAATAACATTATCATTGAAAGACGAAAGGAAATCACCATATTGATACGTGTTTAAATCCAATCTAAGCTTTCGGCTTACATAAGCGATTATCAAAGATGACAGTTACATTTCAATATATCAACCAATACACGGACGAAACAACAATGATAGTCTGGTTTTGTTGCATGAAAAATTTCAAAGCAACGACAAACTCGTGTATACCAGACGCGGAAGCGAAAATGGCGTCGCAGTTGGTAACGTCACACATGACCACGCGAGTGTGAATTCGAGAAGTATTAAGTATGGGATGATATGTCTGAAAATGCCTTGCACAATAGATATTACGGCAAATTTTTCCACTCCCTTCACGCTTTTCTCCACCGCAAACGAAAAAGTTTAATAATATTAGTAAAATCAATAAAATAAAATTTATTCTTGAAACATGTCTGAAACAAAGGTTTCTGCCCAAATATACACTATATATATATATATATATATATATATATATATATATATATATGGAGAGAGAGAGAGAGGGGTAGATAGAGATGTAAAAGAGAGGAGGATAAGGAGAAAGAGACGAAGAAAGAGATAGAGAAAGAGAAAGAACGTGATTTGTCTGTAAACCTGTTA